ATCATCTTATCCACAGGTTCCCCTGCTTCTGACTCCTACTTTCAACTCCTGTAATATGAGCTCCCTGTGGTCCAGAACTCAGACTGTCTTGACCATGTTGTTCCCAGTGCTTCTAAAGGATCCTTCTAAGTCAGCAAGAGCTACAGTCAGACTCTGGCCTTCCTAGCTGCTATGGCTTGAATCTGAACCATCTGAACAGGTTCATGTCGTGTTGACTGCTTAGCCACCAGCTGGTGGCACAGTCCTCAGAGATGGGGTCTAGCTAAAGGAAGTGAGTCACTAGGGTTAGACCCTTAAGAACATCTTGCCTTGGCCTTCTTCCTGTCTTGTGTGTTCTACTTCCTGTTCACTATGACACAAACTTCTCTCCTCTACCGCATGCTCCTGCCACCATGAGGCTCTGCCTGAGTATTTGAGGTCAAGGGACCACAGACTGAGCCCTCTGAAATCATGAGCCAACACAATCCTCCTTGCTTTAAATTGTTTATGTCAAGAATTGGGTCACTGTGACGAGGAAAGAAAATTAGGGGTGTAATGCCACCTGCTAGATATGCCTCCTGAGGCAGACAGATTAATTTCCACAACCTCAGTTTCCAAGCCCAGAAAGTGAAAGTAAATGATGAGGTCTGTCTGCTAGGGGCTCCATGTGGATTGAGATAATCTCAAAGAGCTCTTAGACATCAGTAAGTTCCCCTCTGCCTGCTCTCCCTGGAGAAATCAGAACTCCATTCCTTCACTCCTTGTCTACAAAGGAGTTACAAGCAACCCTTACCTCCATGAGTTCCAAAGTATCCTGGCAAAGTTCCAACGGAACACAAAGCATGCCCCCATATGTACACTTTATCAATTTCACATAGAAACTTCAATCTCCATCTCTCTTCTCCACTCGCAAAGCACCACTGTGTAGTATTCAACGAAGGTGATGCCTGCTGTGGAAGGGATGGCTTGGGGTCAGTAGAGCCACAGCAGGACCAGCCTCTGAGTTCAGCATGTTTGTGGTTCCCATCGCCCTGCTACCTCCTCTAGTTCCCATCACCTCCTAGACCAGTGTGACCAGCTGGAGGCCAAGCACTCAATGCCTGAGCCTGTGGGGACAGTTCTGATTCAAACCATTATAGATGGGAAAGCTGCCGTCTGATGGTAGTGCTTGATTTTGGAGACCAATCTTTTAAAAGCACTGAAACATTGGACAGGACAGTCCAATTTTTGCCCACAGGGAGCTCAGGTAATAGGAGCTGAGAGTGGGAAGCAGTGGAATGGAGGTCCTAGAGGTTATGAGTACCATTTCCTCTGGATGGTCCTAGCCCTCATGGCCTGATCATGGGGGACTTCATGAGGGATGGACTATGGACTTGAGGCTGTCTGCCCTCTTTAGAGAGGTATTCTCTGATGGCCGGGCGGTGGTAGTGCATACCTTTAATCCCAGCACCCGGGAAGCAGAGCCAGGCGGATCTCTGTGACTTCTAGGCTAGCCTGGTCTACAGAGTGAGATCCAGGACAGGCACCAAAACTACACAGAGAAACTCTGTCTCGAAAAAACAAAAAACAAAAAACAAAAAAAAAGAGAGAGAGAGGTATTCTCTGGATACCCATGTTGTAGTGACACATGGTCATTGCAGTGTATTTCTTAGCTTTTCTGTTTTATTTTATTTTATTTTACTGGTATGTTTTTGCAGTGCTCAGGATTAAACACATGATAGACAAACTGAGCCATGCTTCCACCCATTTTATTACTTATTTACTTTAAAATTTTTAGAGACAGTCTTATTAAGTGTCTAGGTTGGCCCTGGACTCAAGATTCTCCTGCTTCAGCTTAAGAGTTGAGATTACAGAACTGGACTTGTATACTACACAGCTGGACTTGTGTATACTACCACAGCTGGATTTGTATACTATTGTGGCTGGACTTGTGTACTACTGCAGTTGGACTTGTGTACTATCACAGCCGGATTAGTGCATTATCACAGCTGGACTTGTGTACTACCACAGCTGGACTTGTGTACCACAACTGGACTTTTGACTTTTTATTTTGAAACAAGTTCTCTAAGTTGCCCAGACTGGGCAATCATTCACTCTGTGGCCAGGTGGGTTGAGGTCTTCTGATGCTCCTGCCTCAGCCTCCTGGGTGCTGTGGAGTTGTAGGTGGTTGCCAGCAGTTCTGGTCTAAACATCAGTTACATAAGGCTTCATGCATTTTTTTTCTGCTATGGCCTGCTGGTTATTGTCAAAATGGGAAAGCTCATGTCCTAGCTGGATGCAAAGCCTTCATCCTGAGGAATATTCATGTTGGACTCAGGCAGTCCCTATAACCATGTGCTGGTGGCAGCAATTGATCACTATCCCCTCAAAGTGACAGCCACCATGTGCAAGAAGGAAACAGAGAAGAGATCAAAGATCAAGATTTTTGTGTGTGTGTGAGTTTATAACTACAGTAACCGCATGTTCACAAGGTACTCTGTGGATATCTCCCTGAACAAAGATATCATTGATAAGGATGTTTTCAAAGACCCAGCTCTGAAATTCAAGGCTAGATGAGAGTCCAAGGTCAAGTCTGAGGAGAGACACAAGATGAGCAAGAACAAGTGGTTCTTCCAGAAGCTTAGGGTTTCTTTCCATCATTAAAATAAATACCAGGGGAGAAAAGACTTCACCAAGTGTCCTTTTCACAGAACTGCAAAGGTGGGAGTCAGGAGAGTCCCCTGCATGGAAGTCCAGGCTCTCAGAATAGCTTAGGGCCACATCAGGACCTCGCCTCTCACTTGCTGTCAGCTCTTCTCAGCTCAGGCCTCTGGGGAGGTTTCCAACTCCAGGGTTTGGGGAGACTGTGTTCTGGGACTGAAATTCAACAAGAGACTGGTAGAGAGGCACCCATATATCCTTTGTTTTCCTGAGACCTGTCTCTTATAGCTTCTCAGAGGATAAGAATTTGTTCTTGAAAGTAAAGTTTTCATCTTACTTCCAGGTCACGTGACACCCCCTCCCTAAGTCATCTAAAGGTGTGCATTTCCCATCGAGAAAAATATTCCCATGCCTGCTTATGGGCTACCCCATAGACCTCACATATCTCAGTCCCCTGCCCACGAAATCTCATTTACATGGCATTTATGAATATACACTGCTAGCATTGTTTTATCTTCATATTAGTTATTGCCACTCTTTTTCTGGGTCAAACTCATAAACTAAACTCATAGACACACACATGTAGGAAGGGCAGAGTGAGTATTGGGTTATTGAACATGTCTCCTGCATATGAGCAGGGACATTAATGATTGTCCTTTATGTTCCAGGAAGCCCAAAGTTTAGCCCAGTGACTAGCTGCAAAATATGTGTCTCAGTGTTGGGAAACCTCACGAGCCGCAAACCACTGCCTGCCGTATGTGCAGTGTGCAGGATGCTCAAGCTAGGCATGATGTGCGTCTCTCACAGGAGAAGCCCATGACAGTGTAGGGGGCACTCTTGTGCTCATTCTTGCTTCCCTTCCCATCCCATCCCATCCCAAAGGGAGTCAAGGGGGAAGTAGCTAGCATGGCGTCAGTGCTTCTGTTCCCACCTCAAGAAGCCCAGAGTATGGAATGTTCTAGAACAAGCCAATACACTTGCTCTCTCAACAGCCAACACTACCAACTCCCTACCAGAGGCCCTCTGCAGCTATGCTAAACCTGGCCTTCAGATATCATGAGCATCCACACTGCAGAATTCCTACCATCAATGTAGCAGCTGAATGCTGTAAGACTCCGAACTCCCCCATCTGTGTTTTGCCTCCCAAGAGGGAAAATAGTCTTCACAGACATTCCCTTATCTGGCAGGCAGATTCCAAACCTTACTGGCAACCACGGGCTTGTTTTCCCAACCCAGCAGCAAAGGAACCAAAAATTGTTCCCGCCTGCGATATGCCGAGGAGGGACCTAGCCAGAAGCTCCGTCTGCAGTCTCTAGGCTGGAACTCCTGAGCTGCCCACCCCCCTTCCTAGAGGGCACCTTGGGATCTCCAAAGTCACAGGCCTGCCAGGCCGTTGAGGGCCCCCACTACTGCTTTCGTTAACTGCTCCTTTTTCTGAACATAGAATACACCCACTAAGAAGCTGCGGGGAAAACACTCAGCGCAGTGTGAAATCAACACTTTCCGACTCAAATAACGGGGTAAACCAGGGAAAACTTCCAACCTTCTCACTGTAGACATTTTCCTCCCACAAGAATCCCAGGGCCTTGACGCCACCATCAGCCTGTCCCCTGCTTCCTGCATATGGGGGAGCCCCCCAGACCTGGCTTTTCACAGGTTGCTAATTCCTTGTATTTTCCCCCCATCTGGCCTTTCACATTCTTAATCCTGGAACCCTGAACCCAAGCAATTGCTAATAAGCCAATATGGGATGATAACCGTGTAAGTCTAATTGATAGGAGTCTCTATCGACTGGCCTTGATGTCTATCTGAGCTTCTCAACAGCCAAGATTTAAATGTTTCATTTTATTTTTAACTTTCACTTTCCCTCATTGCAGCAAAGAGGTATGGTTTCACTATCAGAAAGAATCACTGTGCAGAATAATTGATGACTTCAGCTCAGGCTTTCAGAAAAGCCATTTCAAATCTTCACTTTGATTTGGTTGTATCAAAACTACTCAAAATAACAGCAGCACTTTTCTTGGAACCAGAAGACTTGAACAGCACCTCAGGATTTTGAGCTGGAGCTTCATCTCTACCCCCGAAGAAAACTCCAAAAAGGAATTAAGCCACGGAGTGGAAAACACAACATTGGGGTGAAGCACCACGAGAAAATAGAACATTGTTCTTCAGAATCCTTTTGTTTCAAACCACCACCACCTAAACAAGAAAGGAATGCCAATCCCCAGGAGCCACAGCCCAGGGTTTACTGGGCGGGTGCAGAGAGACTTGGCTGGAGTGCATAGTGGTTAGCTTGAATTGGATTTGTGTGAAGTCAATAGGGCAAAGCAGAAAGAAATGTGGAATGTCCGGGCAGACAGCTTTAATAGGGGGAGACTTACCTTAACACCCTCACTGCATGCTTGACTTAAGGACTGTCAGTCTAGTAAGAATATATCCCCAGAAAAGATGCACCGGATGCAGGCGCTAAAAGATGGCCAGAAGGATGTCCTCGCTCCCTGTCACAAATAAAAAAGGAAATTAAGAAAGAAACCATGTAAAGCAAAATGTAACAAATTCAGGAAATCACAGCCACACTCCGAGGTCAAGGAAACTCAGCTGCAAAGGTTAAAGATGAAATCAAATCCAGAGTATGAGAATGGAAATCTATCCCCATGCAAGGCCACCGGTGACGCGCTGTAGACAAGAAGCTAAATACTGCCTAGCACTGGGATCCTCTATTTCCATCAGATCAATAAGAGCTTATATTTATCAGGATTCCAAACAGCTGCCACTTTTGACAACCTCCACTTTATTTTCTCACTCCTTGCGCTGTATCAGGGCAAAGAGGACCCGAGAAGCAGCTTTTAATGCTATTTACACCTGAAGACACAATTCCATTAAGAGGTCCTGTTTTGTTAAAGAAACAGGGACTGATATGATTATATTGGCAGGAACGGGAAGTGCCTTTGTTCTTCTCCCCAGGTCTTCCCCTCTGCCAGCCAGACCCTGCGAGGAGAAGGTCTGACGCAAAGTCAGTGTACAGACACTTCTTTTTCGTTATTGCTGTTCAAACTTGCCATTTATAGAGGGAGGAAGGACTCTGCTAAAATGGTTACCCCTCTAATCGTCTGTACGGCAATATTTGCTATCAGGCATTCTAAATAGATTATCAGCAGTCCATCTGTGTCATTATTGATTTATAAGGCTTTAAGCAGCTTTAGAATGGAAGCTTTCCCACCGAGGGGCTCCTTGTATAAATCAGAGCCGTGCTCAAATATAGCAGCCATCATTCAAGATATTGTTCTTCAAATCATAACAAGAAGGAGAAAATGATAAATTGCTTGTAATATACTGATCCAAACTGATATGCAAATCTTGTTTTTAAAATATATTACTTGAGTAAAAAGAGGCATCATTAACATATGAATGCTATATGCAAATGATCGTGACAGAGCAGATGTTGGCGCATGTAATTGACCTATATGTGAATTGCATCAGAACCCTTAACTCCATTAATTCACTACCCAGTAACTAGATATTGTCCAAAAAGTACATTCTTTGAAACCATATACTGGAAGCAAAGCTGACAGGGTTCCAAGGATTCAGAAACAAGGTCACTGTCAGTAGTATTTTGCTGTCATCTGCATTCCCCTTCTTATGGATGACATCATCATGTGGCCGTGTAAATCGATCACTTAATAGCATTTAGGAAATACTGCAGTGGGGAACAGGTTATAAAAAAAATGCCCCAGTTTTATTCTTTTTCTTGGCAGAAATGTCATACCTCTTAAACTGAGGGTTTGTGCATGAGTGCCCTGTGAAACTCACAGATGCCATTTTATTCCCCGTCTTTATTTTTCCACTTCTTCTCAGAATGACATTAAATTGTATTAAATAGCCTTTTGTCCACAGGGCACAGACCACCCCGCATATGATAATGCATTAATGCCCCACGTTCCAGCCACTGAGCTGAAACATTCTCAGACTTAGAGGATAAGTATGAAGCGCCATTGTGTGTATAGCCTGCTAACAACTGTGACACATACTAATAGAAACATACCTAATAAATTACTGCTTTCAGGTCTAGCAAGCTGACATTTCTCTGCAAGGGACAATTTTATATTTGTGGCACAGAACAAAATTGCTTCATATGAAGCCACTGTGGATTAGCATAAAAATTAACACTTAAATTTCAGCTTATTTTCCACCCTCTCCTCCTGCCACAACAATCAATTCCTCTTATAAATCTGATTAGATTTTATGATGCTTATTATTCCAAGCATGCCTCAACACAGCATTCACGGGCTTGAAGACTATTTGTTTAAATAGAAAAAAGAAGCAGATAAATCTATAGGTATTTTTTATTACCCTTTTCCCCACCAGTTTCTTTCTCATATTGTAACATCAGTAATTGATTGCACACATTAATTAACATGTAAGGTAGAAATTCTGCATTATGTGTGATTTATTTTCCTATCTGGTGAGTAGGTTTGTGTGTTGCCCTTGTATTTCTAGGACATTGGGCTCGATTCTGGTCCAGACATGAATGTCAATGCTCACTCCCCCGAAAGTTATTAATGTCAGATATGAAATGAGATTTTTGATTTCACCTGCTTACTAATCCACAAAAGCTGTTTTGAGTGATGTAGGCTTAAACGCTCAAATTTGAAATGATATATTGCTATATCTGATAACATGCAAATATGTTCATTAGACATAATTTAGCAGGAGAGAATAGCAACACTTTCATAACAAGCTGAGGTCAAAAATGGTTGTTAATTAAACAAGTCATGAAAAATGGCATTGCAGGGACACTGTCCGGCAGACGCCGGCTTGCCAAGGATATGCCACAGATAAGTATCCAAGGCTCTGCTCCAACATGGAAAGGGGGGTCTGACTTCCTCACCTAACCAAAATCAAGGATCACACAAAGACCTTGAATTGACCATGCATGATGCTACTTGGAGTCGAAAGGTAACATGCTATACTTGTCCATTTGAAGATGTGATTTCACTTTCTGTCTTCGTGGCTTACAGTGATTTATATGGTTGATTCTTTCACAGACAAACCAGGAAAGAAATTAATATTACATCCGGCCATACTGCTGGTTGTCCTGAGTTTTTATGGCTGTGTATTTTAAACCAAGCAGCTAAAGTAACAGGCAAAACTATGGCTGGGATGTTAAGGACAGGGGTGGGGACTGAGTAGATAAAGTGCTGTGCATGCTTCTGTGACTTCTTCTTTTTCTTCTGGCCCTCCTCAAGTGTGTACTGGTTACCTAGGGAACCAGCATGCAGTAAGAACTCTTCCCATTTGTCATGAGTTGAAATTCAAGGTGGGTGGGGTTCTGAATCTCAGGTAAAATAAGCCATCTAGACTTGACTTCTCAGGGTTTGGATGCTTGAGTGCCTTTAGGGAAGAGGGCATTATGGGGGTCAACTACAGTCTAGAGTGGGCAGCAATATTTTCCAACTAAGTACCCACAGTCTTTATACAGGGAAGGGCAGCATTTATAGAGTGGTTAAGGACAAAGACATCATCTGGAACCAACAGCATCCTCATGTCATGTGTGAGAGTCATTGGTTGGTGTGATGCTTATCCAAAGAATCCTTAGGGGCCTCTCTGCAACCAGGAAGAGTTCATGGGTGTATGGAAGTCACACACACAACAAGGAAAGTTCATGTGAGATGAAATACTGAATCTGAAATGTCCTCCTCCAGAGGTTGCTGTTTTGAATGCTTGGTCCCTGGCTGGTGGCACTATATGGAAGATTATGGAAGGAGCTCTTAGGAGGTAGGACCTAGCTGGTTGCCAGCCATTGTGGGGAAAGGCTTTGAAGGTTTAATGGCCCCTGGTTCTTGCTTCCTCTGCTTCCTGGTCTGCCATGATATGAGCAGTCTCAGTACCTGCTGCCACTGCCATGAACTGATCTGTCCATCAAGCCTTCTTCACCATGATGGACTAAAACCCTTTGAAACCATGAGCCAAAAATAAATCTCTCCTCTTTTAAGTGGTTTCTTAAGTACTATGTTTCTTCAAGTACTATGTTCAACAGTGATGTGAAAGGAATGAATACAGTGATAACTCAGAACTTAAGATCTCTCTAGTCCTCACTCATGTCATGGAGGAAGAAGACCCTATTCCAGTTATATTGTGTCCGAGTATAAATTATTACGATTACTAGACATTGAACTTTACCTTTCGGTTGCGTTTTATGGTCCTTGAGCTTTCAAATGCATATCTCAGTTGGGAAAAGAGGCACAGTGGCATTCCTTCCACATGATCTATATTCCCATGACCTTAAGGGACTTCAAAACAAGACAATTGGATGGATGCTCCTGCAACTGGGGAAGACAAAGATCCCCAATCCCCCTTGGCGCTTAGTGATTCTTTTTTCCCCACTGTGCCTTTTGCTGTGTCTCTTGCCCCTCTATGTGGGGCCCTCATGTGACTGTCTATGGGCACTCCTTCCCACCCACCAGAACCTTAGACCCAACTATAGATGGCTTCCCTGGTGGGGAAAGAATGACTAAGCCAGTTCTCAATGTATAGAATAACCCAGAGATGGCCCCAGACCACAAGAAGACTTGTTGGAGAAACTCAAACAGGACTACATTTTCACAGTGTTGAAAAACTGGGAAAGGAGACTTCAGCAAATGAGTGACATTCAATTCCAATATCACAGTAGATGAATTTAACTTTTACTTGTCACAGGCCTAAAGCCATCTCTCGAGTCCTGGAATTATCTATTCAACTTTATGCACACCACACCCAGCATCTACCCTGGTTTAAGTATTACACAATTCCAGAGGCTATAATTCATTTCAAAGTAGATTATCCACTAAATGAATGAATGAATGTATAAAGAATGGCCCCATAGTGCACATGTGATTAAATATGTAAGTAAATTAATATCTAAAGACATGTATGAATGAATGAAGAGAGAGCGAGAGTGATGGTGGAAGGAATTAAAATCAGTAAGTGTATGAATTAATAAGTACATGTATATGTAAATTAAGAAATGACTTATGAAAAAATAGAGGAGTATCAGTAGATCAACAGATTATTTTGTTACTATTATTTTTCAGTGCTGGGGATGGAATCCAGGACCTTGTGTATGGTAGGTAAGTGTTCTACCATGGAGAGCCTTATCAATGGGCTTCTAAGAAATAAATATATACATAAATGTCTGTACCTTGCCCACCCAAAGAGCTGATGTGCAACACATGAGAGAATAGACAAATATAGCCTCTGCTTGAATCCTTGCCCATGAGTTTTGTTTCACCATAGGATGCTCTACAGACCATGGTAGAATAAGAAAGAAGACAAAAATAGCCCTGTCCATCTAAGCCTCCCAGAAGGTGCTTCTAATGATGAACTCTCTGCCAGTATACTCCCAGGAAATCCTGCTAGGCACTATAAGGCATCTTCCTGTTCCTGGATAGGAGGATGGGAGCACTGATCCCAGCACACGGCCCAGCAAGCTCCAGCACGAATAGCACCAGTCACATATCTA